TCAAAATTAATAATAGTTGTTTAATCTCCAATAGTTATTGATAATTTTATGTTAAATAACAAAACAAAAATATACTTATAAATAATTATTGAAAACATATTTATCAAAAATACTATAAGTAATTACTGAAAATACAATAAATATTAATTTTAGTATAAATAAATATACAATGAATATACACTATTATTGTAAAATTATTAATAATAAATATTAATTTTTTGAAAGTTATTTTCTATAATTATTAATTGATATAACTGAAATTAGTTATTTACAATATTATTTAGTTATTTAAATAATATTTTTATTTAAAATTTTAAAATATTTATTATTTTTTGAAGTTAATAATCCATAAAATTATAATTAATACTATTAATACATAATTTTTTATTGATTTTGTAAAATATTAAATTATTATTAATGTGAATATCATGAAATCTATTACAATTATTTTCTACTTTTAAGATTTTTTTTAAAATTTTATTACATAATTTTGTTATTTTAACTATTTAAAATTTAGTCATGTTAAATATTTAAAATTTTTCATTATTTTAATTTTATTTATTTTAAAGTTATTGCATAATATTAAATATTTTCTTATATAATTATTTAACTATTTTTAATGTTTTGTTAATTAAGATATTTTGTTATTGAAATATATAAATAATTTTTTAATTTTAGATTTTTATTATTTGAATAACATTTAAATTGAATAATTAGCAAAATTATAATTTATATTGTTACTGCATAATTTCTAGATGAATTTTGTCAAAATATAGAATTATTAATAATATGAATATTATTAAATCTAATAATTAATTTTTGTGTTTTGAATAAATATTTGAATGTTAGTATATAATTTCGTTATAATATTTAAATAATTTTATAATTTTGTAATTAAAACTTTCTTTAGATAGGTGTAAATAAAAAGTGGGGGAGTGGATAAATACGAATTAGAGATAATTTAGGAGGGAATCCCTCTACTAAATTGGAGATAATTTAAGAGATAAATAGGAGTTAGAGATAATGTAGTAGATAAAGGAATTAGAGACAATTTAGGAGAAAGTGGGGTAAAGTGGTACACTTTTGGTTTCTTTGGCCATGGTTTGTTTGGTTCGCACGACAAATCAAATCATGGTTCCCAAACTATTAATGACGACTGAAATTGTTAAACTTAACAACTTATTTTTTTTATCTTTTATTGGATATAATAATAATAATAATAATAATAATAATAATAATAATAATAATAATAATAATAATAATATAAACTAAAATTAGGTTTGTAATGAAACGTGCCATATGAATTTAGGTCCAGTCCAGTCCTAATCAATTCAAGATCCAGGCACACCAACCTTTGGCAGTTGTTAGTTGATGGGATGAGGCCGATGGCTATGAAAACCTACTTCCCTTAACATGAAGATGGAGTCATAAACTTACTTCCCTTAACCATAGTCAAAACTATGGTTTGGACCAATCAGCACCCGCCATGTCATTTAAGTTCCTCTTTATTTACGACGAAGACAACTAACGGTCACATATGTGCCCACGTACAACAGAACCAGCTGAATATGAGGAGGAAATTTGTAGATAAATCGGCCTCCAATATCTACAAGTTAGGAGTAGGATTAAAACATTCCCCAAAGAATCAAACTTTACCAACTGCTTCGGTTGATATCTTTTTGCCCATAATCCATATCTGGTCTATTATAGTGTAATTAGAAGTAGCCTAAACCAAACCCAACCTTTTTCCTATCCAGATATCGGGTGTGAACGGATCAAATCCGAATTGAATCAGCCAGTATCCGAATTTAAAATCGATTAGGAAATTTCATATTTGAATTTGATTTGATATTTAATGGATATTAAAAATTAATGTTTGAATTCGAATTTGACTGATTAATTATTTTAGATAATTGATAGATATATAAAGTATATAAATATATAAATTATTTATATAATTTAAATATTCTATATATAAATTATATATAATATTTAAATATTTTATATCTATATATATATAGTAAGACAGTCCACATCAGCATGCCTCTTCTTGTTTTATTACCCCCACTCTGCATTCTCTTTAACTCTCTCTCCTCTCTCCTTTCCACCACGTCATGTCATAATTCCCAACCCAGGTATCTCTTCTAAGCCTTACCTAGAGGTGTAAAGTGAGCCGTGCCGGATTGGCACGACATGACCCGCGGGCGGTCCACACAAAGTGTGGGCTGTGCCGTGTTGGCCCGCGGGCCATTATAGGTCGTGCCGCCCTCCTAGGTGAAAATTTTGGAGGTCAGCCCGGCATGGCCCAAGCCCGTGCGGGCCCGTGCCATGCCGTGTCGTGTTGCGGACCAAGCCTTGGGCTAGGTTGGGCCGTGCATCGGGCCAAAGCTATTTATTTAAAAAAATTGACATAAACTTAAAATTTTAATTTTATATGAATTTTTGTGTATACAATTGCTTATATATACAACAATTAAATAATTAGTATAATAAAATTATAAATTATTTATTTTATTATATAATTATAATATATATATTATTTTATTATTTATATATATATATATAAATAATATATATGGGTCGTGTTGCGAGCTAAGTCGTGCCGGCCCATGGGTCACAGGCAGCACGGCCAGCTCGGTCGTGCTATGTTGTGCCGGCCCATGGACCTAAAACCCTAGGTCCAACACGGCCCGCATGATCGTGTTGGGCCTAGCATGGCCCGCGGACCATCGTGTCGGGCCGCGAGCGACACGACCCAATTTACACCTCTAGTACCCCACTCCCCAATCAATTCCTAAAATCTCTCCCTGCAATCTATATTGACTCTCTCTCCCATTTAAAATATCATATTAATTAATAAATAGTTAAATATGGTTAATATTTAATCCAACTCATATTCAATTAGTATTAATTAGTGTTATTACCAAAAGTTAATAAGTATAGTTAGTAAATTACCAAAAATTAATAAATATTGTTATTAATTAACTCATCATGACTTTTTAAAGTATTTTGGGTAAATATTGTTATATTCATGTTAATTAACAACATTTTATAGAAATTGAAAACTCTTTAACTAATTTATATAAAATTGAGAATTATATTTAACAATTATAAAAAAATATAGAATTTTAGTTAGTGCTACTATTATAGTTAATAACCGAATGAAGATCATGGAATAAAATATTATAATGTAGGAAAATGAAATTATTCATTAATTTATATTGGAAAATAAAAGATAAATTAGTGTAATTTTGTTAGTAAACTACCTAATAAAAATAAATATTTAATAAAAATTTAAAATAATTTTCAATAAATCTCCATAATTACACAAATGTAATAAACTTTTAAAAAATTTCATAAAACTACATTTTTGTAAAATAACATTTTAGAAATTAAAAGATATAAATTTTTGAAAGTATATTTAAAATGTATTAAATAATTATTGAAAATTATTAGAATATTTTGAAAATTTTAGGAAATTTTATTAGATTTGATAGATTTTGGAAAACTATTGAAAAATTATGTTATTTTCATTATAAATTATTGTAAATTATTGAAGATAAATGAGTATGGGAAAGGGAAAACCGTAATTTGAACCAATAATTATACAAATGATTAAGATAAATTAGTATAATATTGGAAAAATGAAATTATTAATTAGTTTATATTAGAAAATATAAGATATATTAGTGTAATGTTGTAAGTAAACCAATTAAAAATAAAATAAATTATTTAATAACAATTTAAAAAATAAATTTTCAAAGTTACACAAATGTAATAAAATTTTCAAATTTTTCATAAAATTACATTTTTGAAAATTGAAGACAATTTAGTATCCTTCTAGAAATTTGCCATGTGGTGCGGCTAATACTCAATATATTCTTTTGATCATTTTTGTCATCAAATTGAATATTGGGTTGACGGGGAGTGGGTGCCTTTCCTTGAACCCGCTCGACACTGGGGACGGGGCGGGGAAAATTGGAGGATTCCCCATCCTTGATGAGGAGTGGGTGCTTTGCCTTGAACTCACCTAACAATGAGGACGAGGTGGCAAAATTTGAGGATTCTTCGTCCTAACAGGGAGTGGGTGCCTTGCCTTGAACCTACTTGACACTGAGGATGAGGCGGGGAAATTCGACGTCCCTAACGGGGAGTGGGTGCCTTGCCTTGAATTCGCCTAACATTGGGGGCGAGATGGGAATGGGATAGAGTGTGTTCACTATGGGGCGGGGACAGGGATGGGTGCCCCGCCCCATTGCCATTCCTATATAATTGTTAATTATTAGTGAAATTAATAAAAGTGTTAGCTTTTGTAATTATTTTCATTTATTTAGGGTCAACCAAAATTTTATTTAAAAATAATAACATTTATTAAAATTACTACAAATGATTAATAAAATTAAATTTATTAAAAAATATTTGTTCATATTAAATTAACAATAATTATTTGATGTAAACCTACATTAAATGAAAATACAATTATTAAAAATTTAAATATTAACAATAACTTTGAATACTTTTAGTTAATTAACATCAAATTTTGATTATTAATTTATCAATAAATTAATAATAAATAACATTATTCAATCTTTTAAATTTTCCCGCACGGGTCCACGCTAATATTATATATAGGAATTAAATAATTAATTAAATTCGAATATTCATCGAATCAAATCAGATAATATCCTAATTTGAATCGATTACTTAAATGGTATAAATAGAATATCCAAATTCAACTGATTATTCGAATTATCAAAATCCATTTCGATTATTTTGAATGTCGAATTCGTTGACACCCTACTATACGCCCCACGAGCCACGGCCCCAGTCAAGCAGCGACCCATCTATCACTTGGTGGGCTTTTAATCGGACCCAAAAAAAACCCATATCTTTGGGACCCATATTTTCTACCCACGTGTGCGCGTGCGTTATCTGTTGCAACCGATGTGTATTAAAAATTTAAAAAATGGCTGCCTCTCTGTCTCTTTTTAAGTTTTATCGCTCCTTCTGTACTCCCCCTCCAAATTCTACCACAAAACTCTTTTCATCCAACTCCAAAGATTTATCTTCTTTTTTTTTTTTTGTTCTTTTTCTCTCCAGTTTTTATTTTCTCTCTCCTTGGATTTTTTTTTTCTGTATTCCCTTTTTTATGGTGGTTTGCTTCATCTCTGTGGAGATTCTATCAATGAAGTATGTAGTTGGAAGATTCTTCAGACCGCGGCGAATTTTAGCAGATGGAAAACAGGGATGAAACCCCAAAGGTATACCAATCTTCCTCGAATTCTGCAATTCTTTTCTTTTTCCCATGAGCTCATCTCAACCAATTCGAGTGAAAGCTATGTATGTTCTACTTCTAGGGTTTTATCTTTCAGTTTCATGAAGAACGCTGTAGCTTTTTTGCTATTACTGAGAAAGAAGCCAAAGTCGTTTAACATTCTCTTTATTGATTTCAACTATTTTCCTAGTTTCTCAGGTATCCCTTCTCTGCTACGCTAGAATGTTTGGAATATAGGAAACTGATATTTCGGGATTGTTAATGCCACTTTAAACTTTAAATCCAGGCTTTCATATGGGTTTTGCACCATTAGTCCTTATGGCTTGATGTTTGGTTTGGTGTTTCCGTAGCTTAATGCTATGTTTGACCCGGAAAAGTTGAGTAAATTGTAAGATTCAAAAATTGGATGATAAGATTTAAACAATAATTAAGAGAACATTTAAAGGACTGAATGGTAAGATTGATTCTCTTAGGGTTCGTGAATTGTAAATTGTTTCGTGAATCATAAGGTTTTGATAACATTGGTTCCTATTTCATACGTCATGTAAAGGACAATTGTGTATGCCTTGGGTGTTGGCATTTTATAATACAGTACTTACATGGTCATTGTTCAGATATATGCTAGTGCCAAGCCAAGAACCATCTTCCTTAGATTAGGTTTAGCCTACTTAGAAAGCAATGGACTTCATTCATGCTTTTGCAGGTGGCTTTCTAATTCTACTTTCTTCCCTACCACTGACACTGACACCCTGGAAACCATCTATTGTGTCTCATTTCTGGGTTCATTGTAAGATTACTGGTTTTTATTGCCTGCCTAAACATAAGAAGACACCCTGTTTTTCCATACAGATGATTACTTCCTTTGGGGGGCCGAACTTGAGAAGAACTGGGGCAGAACTAGAAGCATTGTTGAAGACTCTTGGCATTTGGGAAGTTCAATTTTAAAATCCTTTCATGTCCTTAGTCTAAACCAGTCTATCCTAATTCAGCCAAAGTCCATTAGCCTAGAACTAGGCCCATTACCATCCATTTCTGGAAACCAGCAATAGAACTGGAATAAATTCTTCATTTTTATCCTATTTTAATAATAAAAGAACTAAAAAAGGAATTACAACAAAGAGGTGATGAGAAATCATAAGCAGCTGCATACACTCAAAATTAGCCCAAACAAATAAACACCACACCATAACACCTTCCCTTAAAACTGATCCTTCCAAACAAAATCCTCTTCTACCCAAAACAATATTGTAATTCCTTGCTAATCAACTACCCCTATCTGATTAGTCTATTAACTTAAAAACCCCTATAGGCTACTACACTATCTCCAGACATACATCATCATCATCATCATCATCATCCGAGCCTTCTCCCAACTATATGGGGTCAACTACATGAATCCTGTTTCACCATGCCCCTAACAGAAGATAAATTCTTTATTTCCCTGTTGATTCTGATCAAATTTGGATCATTGGATAAGAGACTTATAGGGCTTCAAAACATGACCATTGACCAATTTCCAAAAGAAGGTAGTTGAATAATCATTGAGGCACATCTACAATGGCTTGCAAACAGAAGGTTTTTCTCATAAAATTATTGATTATCAAATGGAGTTTCCACCACCACGGCACTACCACCAAATGTCTCTACAAATGCTTCAAAATGGTTGTTCTGTTGTAATTTCAATAATTTTCTGAAAAATGAAAAGGACATTCCTATTTTGGTTTTATATTGAGATTTCTGCATAATGGTGATTTAATATAGAGCATTGATTTCTAGATTGATCAAGAGATTGTTAAAGTATTTCTCAAGATTAGGAGTTCTAAAGGGACAAGTGGAGCCCTGGGGGATTGGAATACTTTTAATGGATTTTTTGTGGTTGGTATACACTCACATTTAACGGATTATTCTAGAAAAGGTTTGAACTCTTACTTTAAGGCAAGGGTAATGGCTGAGGTGGTCTGACGATGGTGATATGCATGTTTATGCTCTTTTACTTACTTTACATGATTGATTGGAAACCATGATGTCATCACTTGTTGTCTGCCAAATAATCAATCAAGAAGCCTTTTGATTGAAATCAATCAGCGCTCCCAATCAGTGGGCAAACAATTTATCAATCCCTGCACCCTAGATAGAAGGCTTAGGAGGCTCATCAGCAAAAAGTTGTATGGTTTTGGCAGATCTGCCCTTTTGAGGGGTGGGTGACCTGGACCTAAGGAACAACCTGTGAACCCTCTTGAGTTATCCCTATCCGTTGTGTGTGTTTTTAATTTTTTTTTTTTGCGTAAATAATTGTGTTTTATTTGTATTAAACCCTTGTAGAAGTAAATTTAACCCCTTGATGATCACATAAGATACTTAGGAGATCTTCCGAGCCAAGTAACTGACACGAGTTTGGATGACTAAAACCTTCCTATCTGGAGAGCTTCAGGACTTTTCCTCATAATCTTTTTTTAGCTCCTTGAAAGAATGTAATAGAGTGGATGGTTGCAGTTACCTGACAAAGTCAAACTTACCATACAGTATCTTCTAGGCAGGGTTAGTTTAATGATGTATCTACTGTGTTTTATACGGTTCAATTCCATTCTAAATGACTCGACTTTATATCTCCACTAACATTGAAATTTCCTTAATGTAAACATTATCTACCTCAAGGATTATTACAAAATTTTGGAGGTTGACTACGATGCAACAGATGAGAATATCAGATTAAATTATCGAAGACTTGCTCTGGTTAGTAATATTTATTTTCTGATTTGCTCTTCAAATCATGGTTTTCTATTGCTTGACCTCAAATATCTGTTCTTTAAATGCTTTGGGTGACTTTCAAGGGAAATTTACATGGTATCTTGTCTTTCTCCAGAAGTGGCATCCTGACAAACACAAGGGTGATAATGCTGTTACCGCAAAGTTCCAAGAGATAAATGAAGCATACACAGGTAGTTCTCTTAAATCCTAGTGGACTTAGATAATGGCTAATTGTTTATGAGATGATTGATGGCCTTTCTGGCATGTAGCTACAAGTTAAGCTAGGCTACTTATGCTTGTGTTCTTGAATTGTGCCCCCCTCCACCCCCACCCCTACCCCCACCACCATGCAATGCTTTACTTGGAGCCGACCTAGGCGTCAATTCAAACTACTTAGTGGGTGAGCTGTGGGTGTGAGTGAGCCTCGAAAGGAACATGGATACACCCAGTTGCTTGGCTTTTTTAATTATCTTTTATTATTATTATTATTATTATTATGATTATTTTTAGTATTACATACTATACTTTACAGGGGAATTGGGGTGGGGCAAATCAGTGTGCACATGAGGCCCATTGGCCATACCACTGAGAGCCTGCAGTTAACCCGCATCTACAAATTGGAGGGGGTGCCAAGTGACCAACTTGACTACATGATCATTAGCCAGAGTGACAGAAATAATGATAAAAGCTATGATGACCAAATAATAATTGATAATTTGTTCCCCTGGAAGGTAAAACAGGAGGAACTAATTCATCATATGTATCATGTACTTTCAAGTTTGGCATCAATTTGGAAGTAATTAGATTCTTATAGTAACATAAATATTCTGTAATTCTGATTCCTCATTTGTGCAGTAAAGAAGAAAACCCATTAATTTGTTGGATGTTCACTTTTTTCAGTATTGAGTGATCCAGCCAAACGACTTGACTATGATCTGACTGGAAACTATGAGATTGATAAATTCACATTGCGGGTAAGAGGTCTTGCATATTATAATCATTACTTTTTTTCTTCTTCTTCTTGGGGCTACATAACAGGGGTAGTGATAGGAATCGATCAGCACTCTTGAAGACTTACTCTAGAAAGAAGAAGGCCTTACAACAGGTCCTGATATGGCATAGTGATGGTACTTGGGATTTGGACTGAATTGAACACCAAGGGTATTTTTGTCATTTTATATTTTTCTGTAGGGTCCAATGATGGGGTTTAATTTGTCTAGTTATAGTTTGTTTATGTTTAAAATTTCAGAGTCATTGCATAAGTAGGATTATAGTTATTGAGTCTTTGAATTGAAATAGGATATGACAGCTTAGTTTGAGTCCTACTAGGATTATTGAGTCTTATAGTTTGACTCCTAAGACTATTATGAGTCTAACAGTTTGACTCCTAGGATTATTATGAGTTTAGAGTCTATAAATATGTGTGGACGTTTTATATTGATTTTTCTTCATCTTATGCTAGTTATGGTGAGTGATTCCCGTGCCCTAGTGTGATTGTAGGCACCCTGTGAGTGATTCCAGGCATTTTTTCTCTTCTTTCTCTCCTTATTTTCTCTCTTATTCCTTCAAGATGCCATTACAGCCATCAACAACCATAAAACTCTGATCAAGAAGATCATTCAACATTCTCTAAGGATTAGAACTGAGCTGGTCCTACATCAGTTGGTATCAGAGCCAAGGTTATAAGCTGTTATCATAATGGCTACACGTAGTGGCAAGCAGTACAGGGGTCGGCTGGTTGATACATAAAGAGATTCATTGATTTCTACCCTTTACAAGAGGGTTGAAATCCTTGAAGCACAAGTAAAAGAACTTCAAGAAGATAAAGAAGAAGAAATCTAGCAAGCAGCACCTCTAATCAATGAAAGGGATGGAGGACGAAACAACGGATCAGTCCATGAAGATGAAGGATCTGTTAATCTAAGAGGATGACAAAGAGCTGCAAACTGCACAAGGGTACCACTTGCACAAGCTAATCGAACCCGAAATACCCATCAAGGAATTGATCAAGAAGCATCACTCACAAATTTATTTGATGAGATGATGGAACAAGCTGAACATGGTGGTTATTGCAGATGATATAACCAAGAAGGTAAAGGTGGATGTTTCTGATTCCAATGGAGATTTAGACCCCCAATCTTTTTCGGATTAGCTGGCTGCACTAGAGGAATATTTTGACTGGAATGACATGACTGATGATCGGAGGATCAGATTTGCACGTATGAAGCTTGGTGGTTATGCTGAAGTATGGTGGAGAAGCATGGAGTGACGATTGGAGAATAGAGGTGATGGTTCTATTTCTACATGGTCAGAAATGAAGAAACATTGTACCTCCCAATGGACTTCCAAGATGACTTATATGAGGAATTGACTAACCTCAAGCAAGGTATGCTATCTGTAGTTGAATACATGCGTAAATTTGGTGAATTATCTATTGGATATTCTTGACAGTATGGCCGGCCAGAAATAAGAGGATGAGAAGAAGAGAAGAGAAGAGAGGAGGGAAGAAAGAAGGGTTTTGCAATGTAACAGTGTTGGCGGTGCCAACCTTTATTTTAATATATATAGGGCGGCAGAAATAACAAGGGAAAAGACCCTTGTGCCCCTGAGTACAATAACAGACATAACAGAAAGAAAAAAACGAAATAAAAAACACTTTAATAAGCCAAATAGGCCCTAACATCAGTAACTAAATTATTTTAACATTATTTTAACACTCCCCCTCAAGTTGGAGCATAGATGTCAATCATGCCCAACTTGTCACACAAATCTTTGTGCTGCACATGATGGAGACCTTTGGTGAAGATATCTGCAAGTTGTTCTTCTAAGTTGACATATGGTGTACACACTTCTCCACTTTCAAGTTTCTCTCTAATAAAATGCTTGTCCACTTCAATGTGTTTTGTCCTATCATGCAGAACTGGATTAGCAGCAATATTGATGGCAGC